AAACTACCATTGAAGACTTGTTTAGTTCTCTGAGATAAAGTGATTCTAAGGAATGTACTGGCATGTATGAAAATCAATTTGTCGTTTCATTTATAGAGTATTTTTCATCTAAAACTTTTATATTGAAGGCTTTCTCTTTCAATGTAAATAGAATTATACTAGTACATGCAGGACTCAATTATTTAAGGTAGAACTGGCTACTAAATCTCATTAAACTCACATTTGAGTTACACACACTTTTGTAAAAAAAAAAAACGGGTTTATTTTGAGTGGGCATTTTATTTATATAGACCTCTGTGGAGCATGAAGTTTGTTATCTGCTAAAAATATTTATTTGCTATGTTTGTTCTTTACTTAATATTATATTATACTAGAGGCCCGGTGCACAAAAATTTGTGCCCTCTGGAAGGTCCCTCAGCCCGGCCTATGCCCTCTTGCAGTCTGGGACCCCTCGGAGGATGTCCACCTGCTGGCTTAGGCCCACTCCCCCTGGGGGGATCCAGCCTAAGCTGGCAGTCAGACATCCCACTGGCAGCCCTGGGGGATGTCCACTTACCAGCAGGGAGCAGGCCTAAGCTGAAGTCGGACATCCTTAGTGCTGCTGAGGAGGCGGGAGAGGCTCCCACCACCACCGCTGTGCTGGCAGCCATCAGCCTGGCTTGTGGCTGAGCAGAACTCCCCCTGTGGGAGCGCACTGACCACCAGGGGGCAGCTCCTGCATTGAGCATCTGCCCCCTGGTGATCAGTATGTGTCATAGTGACCAGTCATTTCAAGTCATTCTGCTGTTAGGGTCAATTTGCATATTACCCTTTTATTATATAGGCTAGAGGCCTGGTGCACGGGTGGGGGCCGGCTGGTTTACCCTGAAGGGTGTCCCGGATCAGGGTGTGGGTCCCGCTGGGGTGCCTGGCCAGTCTGGGTGAGGGGCTGAGGGCCGTTTTCAAGATGGCCAAGACCCCCGGCGTTGGAAGCTCCCAGCCTCTCCTTTTTTTCTTTTTTTTCATTCTGGGATTTATTTACCTTCTATAATGGAAACTTTGTAGCCTTGAGTGGAGCTCAGAGGCGGCCAGGGCTGGTGAGAAGCTTGACTTCCTCCATCACCAGGGGCAACCCAAGCCTCCTGCTCACTCCAGCTCCATGGCCATGGCCAGCTGAAAGCAGGTATCTGGGGTTTATTTATCTTCTATAATTGAAACTTTATTGCCTTGAGTGGAGCTCAGAGCCGGCCGGGGCAGGTGGGAAGCTTGGCTTCCTCCATCACTGGGGCAACCAAGCCTCCTGCTTGCTCCAGCTCCGTGGCTGCCGGCCGCCATCTTGGTTGGGTTAATTTGCATATAGTCGCTCTGATTGGCTGGTGGGCGTGGCTTAAGGCATACCGAAGGTACGGTCAGTTTACATGTTTGTCTTTTATTAGTGTAGATGTGTCTTTGTATCCATCACAGCATTTATTTAAAGAGTGAGGAAATAACGTGTCAAAGCAGCATGTTGAACACCTCAAACTTATACAATGTTATATCTCAGTTATGTCCCAATAATAAGTAAAATTATTAAAAACCAACAACAAAAATGAAAAAAGCTATGAAAATCTCAGAAAGTAAGCTGCCATACTTCCCAGTACTTTACAAAAACAACAGAAGGGGCAACTCTGGAGCTAGAGAAGTTATCCTGAAACAAGCCTCTTTCTAAAAGTTCAGAAAAGCTCATTTCACACCAAAATAAGCAACATAAAACTATATAGTCCTGCAAGATTTTTACATCCTATACCCATTGAAAGCATGTCAGAAAGGCATGCCCATAAAGTAAGTAAAGACTGTAACCTTTTATTTAAAAGTGGGTTATATGATGTTTCAAAAATGATTCAAAATGTGGAAGAATACCAAAAACCAGAATCTGGAAAATACTATAAATAAGGGAAAAAATAATTCAGAAATGAAGACTAAACTAGAATAAACACAAAGGCAGATAAACAATAGATAATTCCTTAAGGAAAACAGAATTTTTAAAAATGTTTTTATTGATTTTTAGAGAGAGGAAGGGAAAGAGAAACCATTGATCGGTGACCTCCTTGTTCCTGTGTCGACACTCAAACAGTCACAAAGGCTGAGCGAAAATAGAATTTTTTTAAAAAAGAGGATGGCTTTAGAAATCATAAAGGATTAGTGGGATAATGTCAATTTTAGAGATTTAAAAATATCAGAACAAAATTACATGAAAAATACTTGCTGAAAAATAAGTTATTTGGAACTACATGTTGAAAGAACACCCTGCCTACCTGAGAATATTATCCCAGATATAGTGAACTGTGGGTTTGGCTGTGTAGACAAAGACAGCAAGTGACTTAGAAAGCAAGACTAAATAGCACTATGCCAGGAAAAATTACACATTTAAGATATTGAGGGCGGGGGAAATGAGCAAAAGATTTTATATCTAACAAAACATTTTTAAAAATATAAAGATCACTGCTCAGACGTTCTCAACATGCAAGAATGTAGAAAACATTTCCCTTGAGTGCTTCCTGAGGAGTGGACTAGAGAACATGCTCAGACAAGGTAAATAACTAGAAATATGTTGACATAAATAAAGTCTGTGGTGAGCGTTAACTTTGACATCACATCACTGGACCAAAGTGCCAACCAGGTTTATTGCTGGAAGCTCAGCTCACGGGGTGGGTTTTCCCTCACCACGGACTTGTAGCAGTCAAGTTTTGACTTACAGCAACATGACAATCCGATCCATTTGTGAACCAAGCCTGGATTTTTTTTCTCCTTTGAACTCCAATGAAGTCATAGACTGTGAGTAGAGAGAGATGTTGGTTTCCTGGTGGTAAGTGACATGGAGTTCTGGGCTACCTTTTCATGAAACTTGAAGGCTTAAACCTGCTTGGGTCCCAGTCCTAAATGTACCATGGGTTCTTACTCTTTTAGCTCATGGCTTGGTGGATCTGACAATACCAAGCTTATGATGAGCAGTTCTGGTCACACAGTAAATGCTATAATATAATTGATGGTGAGGCACTAAGTCACTTGTTCTGTGTCCTTTCTCACTTTCTTCTGGTACCCTCTCTTACTTTGGGTCCCACTGAAATTTTCCAAGTCATCTGAGAAATGGTTTGAAGCATTTTTCCATGTGTATTTTGTGTTGTCACCAAAATCCAGAAAGCTACCAAGGGCTGGTATCTCATAGTCATCAGAGGAGCAAGGTGAGTAATTTGTCCTTTAGGAAGGGATGTCTCAGCGTGCCCCAGACCACTTGACTCCTCATGACTTCACCAGTGTGATAAGTCTTTGAATTTTGGTGGTGTGTCTCTACCCTCTGGTGCATGTGTGCCTTATCAGGATGCCCAGAGTATTTGCCACTTATTTCTTGCAGGTTTGTGTGTGTGTGTATGTAGAGTTGTTGGATGTTTTCACAGATGGAGAACTATGGTGTTTTGTTCCCAGCTATGTTTTTTTACCAATTAAAGAAATGTAGGAATGTATTTAGGAGCTGAAGTTCTACAAAGAACTTCATTTTTGAATTAAAATGTAATAGTTTGCTCTAGCTGGTTTGGCTCAGTGGATAGAGCATCAACTTGCAGACTGAAGGGTCCTGGGTTCAATTCCGGTCAAGAGCATGTACCTCGATTGCAGGCTCAATCAGGCAACCAATCAATGTGTCTCTCTCACATCGATGTTTCTCTCTGTCTCTCCCCCTCCCTTACACTCTCTTAATAATCAATGGAAAAATGTCCTCAGGTGAGGATTAAAAATAAATAAACAAACAAACAAATACAAATGTAATTTGTAGCTTGAAAGTTTTAAATTCCTCCTTTTCTGAAATGTTGTTTTGCCTTTTCTCAAAAATGTATTATCAAGTTCTTATAAAATGTAAATCTAAGGAGCCCTTTCCCTGCCATCCTTCCTCTTGTTACCTGATCTTGACGGAAAGTTCTTGATCATTTTTCAAATGTTTGTTAGGTATTTATTATATCTTATTATGTTAGGTACTAGAGATTGAGCAAAAATAAAACATTTTGATTTTTTTTTCTGGGACTCAAAATGATTTAGTGCCTCCCCTTCATCCTCCCCCCCCCCCCTTTTTACCCTTGTTTACCCGATTTCACCGTATTTGCCCTTTCGTCTCACTACCCTTCTAGGTTATCCAACCCCCATCTTTTCCCAACAGTATTGTCTGGGAACGCCAGGGGTTGCTGAGACCCTTTGTGGGTGTGTCTATGTGATCAAACCATTTTTCTAAAAATAAGCCATTATTTGCTTTTCCATTCTTACATGATTGTACACTGGAGTTTTTCAGAGGCTACACGATATATCTCTGATAGCTAATGGAATAGGTGCTTGTGTATGTTTGTATTTTAAGGGGGGCTTTCAATTTCTAAGTTGTAAAGGAGTTCTGACACTAAAAAGTGTGAGAAAAAAATGCTTTATAATATCTCAAGGAAATTCTGTCATTTCAGCTTAATTTAGTGTGAGCTACTTAGAAGTTCATAGATTTTTCTTAAATGTTTTTATATTTTTAATTTCACTGATTTCTGCTCTAATATTTATTTTATTCCTTCTGTTTGCTTCAGGTTTAATTTTTAAAATTTTATTCTTAAGGTAGCACTTAAGCTGTTGGTTTGAGATCTTTGTTCTTTTTTTAACTCAGTGAAATTGCACGCTGCGGAAAGGAGAGAGAAAGAGAGTTAGAAACATCGATCAGCTGCCTCATGCACACCTCCCACCGGGGATGTGCCCGCAACCCAGGTACATGCCCTTGACCGGAATCAAACCGGGGACCTTTCAGTCCACAGGCCGATTCTCTATCCACTGAGCCAAACCGGTTCTGGCTCTTTGTTCTTTTTATAACTCAGTGAAATTGCACGCTGCTTTGCGTGGCGTAGTGAAATCTCGCGAGATGTCTAGCACTCTCCGCGTGTCCACGCTGCCTGAACGCCATCCTCCCGGCGTGGGCGTGGGCGTGGGCATCTCCGTCTCCCCGCTGTCCACCCTCCCGTCTCCGGCCACGTGCAGTGATGGCCCCGAAGCGGAAGAGCAGTGGTTCCGGCGACTCAGATACACCACGAGAAGCGGCCGAGTGGGTCCCTTCCGTGGGAAGGTGAGTTACTGAAATAAGATATTTTGAGAGCGAGAGGCCACACTGACGTAACCCTGAGTATAACATGTTGTTAAAATTGTTCCATGTTAGCCCTGCCCCCTGTGGCTCGGTTGTTCGGGGCGTCATCGCTGCTACTGGAAGGTGGTGGGTTTAATCCCGGTTGGGGTGTGTATGGGTGGCACTTGATGGATGTATTTCTCTCACAGGGATGTTACTCTCTCCCTCCATCTCTAAAAAAAAATTTTTTTAAATTGTTCTATGGTATTATTATTGTTGTTCGTCTCTTTGCCTAATTTTAAATTAAACTGTATCATAGGTATGTATGCTTAGGGGAAAACACGGTGTTTGTATAGGGTTCAGTACTGTCCCCAGCTCCAGGCCCCCAATGGGAGTCTTGGATATCCCTCATGGATAAGAGAGAGGCTATTTTAATTTTTATTTCGTTCAAAATATTTAAAAATTTCCCTTTAGCCTTCCTCTTGGGCCTATGTGTTGTTCGCTTTCCATGTATTTGAGGATTTTCCAGATACCTTTCTCTTTACTGATTTCTAGTCTGTCAGGGTCTAAGAATGTACATTGGATAAGATCTGTTTTATGGCCTAGAATGTAGTCTCTCTTGTTGCAGGTTTCATATATACTTGGAAATACTTGGGAACTGACCCTGTATTAGAATGTTTCAGAGTAGTGCAAATGAAAACGCGCGAAAGGGTAGATAAGTCACAAAAAAAGCCCAGTTATTCACCTTGTGCCCATTTCCCCTTGCAATGTGACTTTGCAGCTTCTTGCATCACAAATTGGGGTCTATTTCCCCACCCCTTGAATCTGGGATGACCTAGTAAGTCGCTTTGGCCGATGGACGTGATGGAAATTATAGTGTAAAAGCCCCAAGTCTAAACCTCAAGAAGCCTTTCGTTCTTTTCTCTCTTGAAACCCTGCCATCAGTGTAAGCGAGCCTGGGTTGGCCTCCTGGAGGCTGGGAGCAGCTGGAACAGGGCTGCGTCATCCCAGGTATTTTGAATCAGCCCAACCTGGCGGGATCCCCAGAGTTGCCGAGAGGTGACTGCCTGAGACTAGAACTGCCTGGCTGGCTGACAGGCTTAGGAGCAACAATAAATGGTTATTTTAAGACTCTCCCTTGTGGGATGTTTATTTTGCAGCATTACTGTGACAATTGTCATTGATACATGGCCCATGCCTAAATATAGTTACCCTGTATGTTTACAGGGAAACATATAGAGACACTAAAAAACGAGTTACAAAGACTTTCAGGTAGTTAATTTCAAGGAATCACAAATTATTTAAAGGGCTATTAGAATAGTACAGGGCATGTAGTAAATATTATATAATAAGTAAATGTTAAGTAAGCTATTTTTAGTATTGTTAAAGGTAGACTTTCTGTTAGTGGAATATTACAGAGCTTATTTACTTAAAAATTACTTCATAAAGAGGTCAGTCTTTGGGAAATAATTTTACTAGTGAGTTGGATAAATCTAAATGTGTTTCAAACATTTTTTTTTTCCATTTGCAATCTCTGCACTCAACTCCACTGGGATATCTAACACACATCTCAAATGTAACATGTCCAGGTGGAACCTTCTTCATTGATAACAGCATCCTGTGGTTGTTCAGGCCACAGAACCTTAGAGTCCTCCTCAGCTCTTCCTTTTCTCTCCTAATTTATATAAGACCCAGCAGCAATCCAGCTCTTTCTCACTGCTCTCACCACCACCACCAGTTTTTACTATTTCCACCTTTGTTTCTCAAAAAAAGATTCTTACGTAACCAGAGCGATGCTTTTGAGTGTGAGGTCATGTTGCTCCTCTGCTCAAAACCCTCAAGTGGCTCCGTTTCCCTCAGAGTAAAAGCTAAAGTTCTTGCCCTGGTCCATAAGCTTCCTGCCTCCTCTCCCCCACCTCTTTGCCTCATCCACTACTTCCTGCCCTACTCACTCTGCTCAGCCACACGATGTGCTGCTTTTCAAACACACGACACATTCAGATCTCAGGGCTTTTGCATTTGTTGTTTCTTCTGTCTGGAAAGCGCTAACCTTAATATCTGTATGCCTCAAACTCTCACTCCATTTATTTTTATTTCTCAAATGTCACATTCTCAGTGGAGCCTTCCCTGGCTACCATATTTAAAATTGCAATCTCTCAAAAAAAGTATAAAAAATAAAATAAAATTGCAATCTGCCCCCTATCTGGCATTCCCTTTTTCTGGTTTTGTTTTTCTCCATAGCTTTCTGGCTTTCTAATACACTGTGCAACTTATTTTGTTTTTAATAGAGTTCTAATTTAGTATTGTGTGAATATGTCTAAGAAATAGAGGTTGACTGTAATTTGTTATAGACATAGCATTCAGTTCACAACTAGACAAGGGTTGGTCTAAGTACTTTTCTTAATTTTATTGATTTTTTACAGAGGGGGAAGGGAGAGGGATAGAGAGTTAGAAACATCGATGAGAGAGAGACATCGATCAGCTGCCTCCTGCACACCTCCTACTGGGGATGTGCCCGCAACCAAGGTACATGCCCTTGACCAGAATCGAACCTGGGACCTTTCAGTCCGCAGGCCGACGCTCTATCCACCGAGCCAAACCGGTTAGGGCTGGTCTAAGTACATTTAAAGGGAACTCTGTTATCTGGGGAAAGGTGAAGAAGCAGAATTTGTTTATTGCACAAGAAATTTCCAGGTTTATTGATTTATATAGATGTAAAACAAAAAGTGAGAGAACTTAATGCAGAAACCTGTGCTAGTTTCATTCTTTCTAGGTAAATTAAATTTGCATTTACTGCAAATTTAAGTTTATTGTCCTTTTCTAGGAGTAAGGGAAGAATCCCATAGATATCATATGATCCATTTTATTAGTGCTGTCACACTCTATCTAGAGCAGGGCATAGGGGCTAGTGAGGACTGCAGCTAGGACTTCCCAAACCACAGTGGTTCTTGAAAATCAGTGTGGGTGAGAATCCCGTGGAGGAGCCTGTTAAAAATGCATGTCCTAGCCCTACCATAAGGCACTCTGAACTGGAAGGTTGGGGGGCCAGGTTGGTCATCTACAGTTTTACCATCCTGCTGTGGTGATTCTGACGCAGGTGGCCCATCTACCTTCCTTTGTGAAACACTATCCCAGTGATGTGTGTGTGTGATTTAGCAGGATTTATTTTCTTTTTATAAATCTTTATTGTTGAAAGTATTACATATGTCCCCCTTTCTCTCCCCCCCCTCATTGACCCCTTCCAGCCCACCCCCACCCCAGGCCTTCACCACCCTATTGTCTGTGCCAGTGGGTTATGCATATATGCATACTAGGTCCTTGGTTGTTACCTCCCACCCACCCACCCTCCCCTACCCTCCCCACCTTCCCAGATTCCACACTGTTCTATGCTTCCATGGCTCTGGATCCACTCCGTTCATCAGTTTATTTTGTTAATTAGATTCCACATATGAGTGAGATCATGTGCTACTTTGACTTATTTTATTTAGCATGATACTCTTTAGGTCCCTCTATGCTGTCTCAAAAGGTAAGAGATTCTTCTTTACTGCTGCATAGTATTCCATGGTATAAATATACCATAGCTTTTTTTTTTTTTAATTCACTCATCTACTGATGGGTACTTGGGCTATTTCCAGATTTTAGCTATTGTAAATTGTGCTGCTATGCACTATAGGGGTTCATACATTCTTTCTGATTGGTATTTCGGGTTTCTTAGGATATATTCCTAGAAGTGGGATCACTGGGTCAAATGGCAGTTCCATATTTAATTTTTTGAGGAAACTCCATGCTGTTTTCCATAATGGCTGCACCAGTCTGCATTCCCACCAGCTGTGTACTAGGGTTCCCTTTTCTCCACATCCTCACCAGCACTTGTCATTTGCTGATTTGTTGATGGTAGCCATTCTGACAGGTGTGAGGTGATACTTCATTGTTGTTTTAATTTGCATCTCTTTGATGATCAGTGACCTTGAGCATTTTTTCATATACCTCTTGGCCATCTGTATGTTTACTTTGGAGAAGTGTCTATTTAGGTCTTCTGCCTATTTTTTAATTGGATTGTCTTCCTTTTGTTAAGCTGTAAGAGTTCCTTATATATTTTGGATATTATCCCTTTATCAAATGTTTCATTGCCAAATATGTTCTCCCATACAGTGGGCTTCCTTTTCCTTTTGTTGATGGTTTCTTTTGCTGTGCAGAAACTTTTTATTTTGATGTAGTTCCATTTGTTTATTTTCTCCTTAATTTCCTTTGCCCTAAGAGATGTATTCATAAACATATTGCTACGAGAGATGTCGAGATTTTGTTGCCTGTGGTTTCTTCTAGGATTTTTATGGTTTCCCAACTTACATTTAAGTCTTTCATTCATTTTGAGTTTATTCTTGTGTATGGTGTAAGTTGTGGTCTAGTTTCATTTTTTTGCATGTGTCTGTCCAATTTTCCCAACACCATTTATTGAAGAGACTCTCTTGACTCCATTATATGCTCTTGCCTCCTTTGTCAAATATTAATTGAGCATAATGGCTTGGGTTGATTTCTGTATCCCAGTGATGATTATTATAGAATTAAACACATAGAAGAAATCTGAAAGAAATTTCTAGAGAACTTTATGTTTGGTAGAACATTGATGGATTGAGGGGTCCAAATTGTGTTCTTATTTCTTCTTCCTGTTGATGATTTTTTTTGTAAGAGAAGGTGAGGAAATTGAATAGCTGGAGACATTGGTGATGTCAGAAATCTAGATTTCACTTCCCATATCACTGTTTATAAAGTCAGAATGATGGAGTCCTAGCAAGGGGCTGAATTTATTTTACAAACACCAAAACAATGTGTTTGACTGAAAACTAGCACCTGATCAAAGTCAACATTTGAGATGGAGAGAAAAATTTCCTGAGAAGGCTGCAAAACTGGATATGATACCGTTTAAGAGAAAATGAAGCTGCATAATGGAAAGTGTTTTGAAATAACAGCACCGTAAGCTTTTCTTTTGTTTGAATTATTTATAAGCGTACGATACCGTTTGTAAGTAAAATATTTAAACAAATCCATTGATACCTAAGGAAGTGGGCATAGGCTGCCTTTCCGGCCAAGCAGATAATGGTTCTCAACCTTCCTGATGCCGCGACCCTTTAATACAGTTCCTCATGTTGTGGCAACCCCCAACCATAAAATTATTTTCGTTACTACTTCTTAACTGTAATTTTGCTACTGTTACGAATCGTAATGTAAATATCTGATATGCAGGATGGATTTTTAGGGGTCGCGACCCACACGTTGAGAATCACTGAATTTTACAGGGACGTGAACGTTGCTTCAGTTTTGATTCGCATCCTAGGCTGGAGAGGCTGCATCTTGGGCCTAGAAATTTATTTCAACCTGCAGTTTCTCAGGTTCCTCAGTGTAAAATATGGAAATATGCGATGTGGCGTATTTGGGGATAGAATGAACTGAGCCCTGTCAGAGACATTTCAAATCTGGAAGCTACTTATCCCATCTAACCTGCTAGGAGAGCATACTTCTTTTCCCAGCTAATTACTGATTGACCTTAACATGTCACTAAATCTCTTTCAACCTGTCTGTCCATCCATGAAATCACATACGTGGATTATGTAATCTATACAAGGATTCTACCTTAAAAACAAGTTGATGAAATTAAAATACAAATCTTTAAAAATTAATTTCCAGCTCAGAGATAATAGTGTTTGTTTTCTTACTAATTAACTTTTTAAAAAATATTATGTTTAAAATGAGACTATTGCATATTAAAATTCCAATTGTATTTTTAAGGAGATACTATATATCTTACTGAGATAATTTTTTTCTTTTGCCTCAGCTTGTTAGCTTATTAATTTTGAATTTCCTGGTACTCTTTTGAGCATTACTCACTTCTACATATACCCTTCATATTCCAATAAAATTTTAAGTGTATGTCACTTCTCATGTAGGAATGCACAAGCAAATAAACAGTATATAGCCCTGTATTTCAGTAGAATTAACTGATCTGAAGTTATCCTTCATGCTAGCACTGTAATAGGCTTTTGACCTCAGATTGCATTTTTCTGTTTCTTTATAAATGAATTTTGTCCCCAAATGAAAGAGCATATTCATTTTCAGGTTGCGTGCAGTGAAATAAAAGCTGCATCTGGGATCACTTTTTTCATGCGCTCAGTGGAGGACTAAGCCTTTCATAGAATTAAGCATGGAAAACTGACTAAAAAAACTGCTTGGAAGAGATTTGTGTGTTTTTGTGTTTGTTTTTTTTCAAAAAAACAATTTTAGATATTAACTGTTTAGAAAATTCTGCATTATATCTACAGAACAGAATATGTGCAAAACTATACAACTTTCCTCTGTAAAAACTAATGGAAGATATGCTGCAATTACATAAATTAATCCATCTATAGGAACTAAAAGAAATTAAGACTGAAGAAAATAAGACAGAGGGTTTAATAAAAAATAAAAAGGTCTTTAGGTAGAAAATAGTTGTCTGCCAAAACTAGAGGAAATTTTCCATCTTAGGCTAGACCTTCATTTGATTTTTTTTTTAAACAACCCCAATAAATTTAACTTAAAAGTAAAAAAAGTCCTAACCGGTTTGGCTCAGTGGTAGAGCATCGGCCTGCGGACTCAGGGGTCCCAGGTTCGATTCCGGTCAAGGTCATGTACCTTGGTTGCAGGCACATACCCAGTGGGGAGTGTGCAGGAGGCAGCTGGTCAATGTTTCTCTCTCATCGATGTTTCTAACTCTCTATCCCTCTCCCTTCCTCTCTGTAAAGAATCAATAAAATATATTTTAAAAAAATAAAAAAGCAAAACACCCACATGCAAAAACAATGAGATGGAAGTTTAGGAAGACTTTTATGTACCCTTTATTCTCTATCAAATGCAATGCTCCCAATAATTTTCAGATACTAATCATAGTGCTTTCATCCCTCTACCTGAAGATCAGAGTCTTTGTCCCCAAGGTCCTGCGTCCCAAAGCTCTTACTTGGATATTGTGTGCAGATAACAGAGACTATTGTTGAAACAGAATGGGGTGTTTCTGACCCTTTTTATTGCTCTCCTTTGGTGGGGGAGGGGAGGGATAAAGTGCGTGATGAAATTCAGTTACAAAGAGTCACTCACTCTCCAGGTCTCTTTTCAGATCACCAGAGAAACTTCCCTACTTCTCTTGCCCAAAGTCCTTGAAACAAACTGCTGCGAAAGTTGTGTGTTTTGTTCTTCACACGGAAAAGGAAGAGCAGAGGAAGCACTTAGGTGAGAGTGACAAATTAACATATCCAGTCCTTCCCGTCAGAGGGCATGAATGCAGTAGATGCCCACAGTGTCCCGTCATTTTCTTGTTCCACTGTGTGTTCTCCTGTGTGGTTGTGGAGGTCCTCACTTGTTAGTGAAGTGCTCTCCAAGGTTATTACACATGGTTGCTGAGGAATATTCTGCAGGAGTGAACATTCATTTTATTCTTAAATTTGTATGTATTTATGTTTGGATATGATGTTCATGTTCAGTAAGATATCACTAGATGGCCCTAGCTGATTTGGCTCAGCAGCGGATAGAGCGTCGGCCTGCGGACTCAAGGGTCCCAGGTTCGATTCGGGTCAAGGGCATGTACCTGGGTTGCGGGCGCATCCCCAGTAGGGGGCGTGCAAGAGGCAGCTGAATCGATGTTTCTCTCTCATCGATGTTTCTAACTCGCTATTCCTCTCCCTCTCCCTTCCTCTCTGTAAAAAAATCAATAAAATATATTTTAAAAAAAAAGATATCACTAGATGGCTTAAAGGTTGAAATTGGGGATGGTGTTATTTTTCTAACGTGTTTAATATTAAATTTTAAAAAATTAAATTTAAAAGAATTTTTATTCAAAATTGATTCCACTAATAATTATGTCTTAATTTTAAGAAATAGTTTTGAATATTTTAAGAGAAAAAATATTTGAAAATATATGAGGAATAATTTTTCAATTTTTAAACATTTTTAACTCACATTTTTTATAGAAATATATCCATATTTGAACACTTTGAAAACAATGACATTTACTTCTTAATTCTTTAAATCATTCGGGATGAGTATGTCAAAACAGTGATAAAAATAGATAGGATAAAAATAAGAAAAAATAGTGTTGCTTTATAAGTACTTCCCTCAGGAAAGATGAAAATTGGGGGGAAAAGAATAGAAAATTTGCAAAAGGCCGTCTATTTACATTTTTAAAAGCTAGAAACAAAGCAAAAGTTTCTTTTGAGCAGGACCCACATAAAAATCATAAATAGGACATTATAAATTTTTATTTAATGATTAATTATTGATCAAAACAAAATAAGCAAGAAAATTATTCTCATCAAACCTACAACTTGAATAGATGATGGGAATTCCTGAAACTTCATTTTCTTTACTAAAGACTTAACTACTAGTTAAAATTATGAGAATGTGTATTAGCCTCCTTTTGTACTTATGCCCTGGTTTCTCAAATGTTAGGGATAGACCTTTCTTCCTCTTCTGTTCTCTGTAAGCTCACCCTTCTCAGGCTTTGGTCTCCAGAGCCCCATGAAGCTACATGGACCAGGTTACTAATGCACCTTCCTAATTCCATGGTCCATTCTCAGTCCTCGTTTTACCTGACTTAGCTGCAGTCCAAGATATAGTTGATGAATCACTCCTTCCCTTTAATATACATTTTTATTTCTCCTAGGACAGCATACTTTTTATTTTATCTTATCGTTACTCCTTCTCAGTCTCTTTTGCTAGTTTCCCTTTTCTCTCTGTCTTCTCAATGTTGGAGCTCCCCAGGGCTCAGTCCAAAACCATCGCCTCTTATATCTGTACTCATTCCTTGGGTGATTTCATCTATTCTCATACTTTTAAACAAATTTCTATTTCCTCCCCAGCTGTTCTCCTGAACTTTATATTCAGATATTCAATTCCTTAATTGACATCTCTCTGGGTCATAGAAGACATTATAACTTTGGCTTCTTTCTCTTGGCCCACTTGTTCTGGGGGAAACCAGATGCCGTGCTAGGGACACTTGGCAACCCTATGGAAAGGCCCCATGGCAAAGACCTGAGTCAGCCTCTTGTCAGCAACTTGGAAATGAACCCCCTGGCTCCAGTAGAGCCTGGTGATGCCCACAGCCCCAGCTGACTTCTCTACTGTAACTTCAGGAAGGAGAGACCCTTGGATTTAGTAGGTTATACAATGTGAAAAGAACATGGTCCCTTTCAAATGGTTAACAATCAAATTTTAAAAATACAAATAGTTCTGGGTTGAAGCAAAAGCGAGGCTCTTGCTGTTGACATTTCTTCTCCTTGCATTTACTTTGCAAGCCTCAGCAATTGGCTTCACATCCCACCAATTTCTCCCTTCCCTTTGAACTTATGTACTTCCCTCCCTCCATCCCTCCATCCCTCCCTCCCTTCCTTTCTCCCTTCAGTCCTCCCCCACCCCTTCCTGTCTCTGCAGGCTTCCTTTAGATTCTAGCACAGCTTCCTCCACTCTCTCAGTGGTACTTGGTAAAAGAGAAGCATATAATTTCAGTTTGCACATCTTTACTTCTTCAGCCTACTGCAAATTGACTTTTGACTTCATTAATCTACTGAAATGGTTCATGCTAAGGAGACTTCATAAAAACCACATAAAATTAGTATTTAGGGTTGTTGTTGTTTTTTTACTTTCTACATAAATATCTTTATACTAAAATTAAATCACCCATATAGTGCATGATGATTTGCTGAGTAGCTCACTTTGTATTAGCCAAAAGGAAATTTGAACCTGTCAGTCAAATTACATTGTGTAAGAAATAATATGTTTTTAAAAATCAACATGCAAAATGTAAATCTTTGGTCATCTTTACTCTCACTTTTGGAATGGTAAATAAAAGTTTTACATCTAGAACCTAAATTAGTAGGTTGTTCCATATTTCATTGATAAAATCATTCAGCCCCAAACATGTTACTTTTTTAGATAAATTGTTAAATTTTACTTCAGAACAGGGTGTAGATGTACTTCCAAAATTTATATTCTATAAAATATATGATTACTTGCTTATGTGGGGGAGAAACAAACTTCCCTTTAAACTCACGGTTCTTTTCTGGTCTAATAAGCAAATAACATGACACAGATTAGCAATAGAAATTAACCAAATTTAAGGCATACATATGTATGGGAATCTCACATACATGAGAGAATCAGAGACTCACATGCAGGAGAGGTTCAAAGACAGGAAGAAAACATGGGTATACAAACATTCTGAACTAGGAATGATATTAGGTGCCCTGGGGCCTTCAAGGATCCATGCAAAGTGATATGAGCAGATATACTAGTAGCTTTGTAGATAGGTGCTATTCCTTAGATGTACACTAGATGGCAACAGAGAAAGAGAAGAGTATTTGGGCAGGAAGAAAAGGGAGAGGAGTCAAAGGTTCTTTCTGAGCCTTTTTTCTTGATAAATAGCTTAAAATCAATATTCCAAAAATTGGCATCAGGGTGGCAGAATTTTGATCTCTTCATAAGGAATTGCGAATTGTCTGTGATACCAGTATTCTTTAGATTGGTAAATTTATTAACCAATTTCTAGAAATATACTTTCTCATAGTACAATTTTTTTAATGTTCCACAGAACACAATTGCTAATAGTCACAAATGTCAAAGCATAAGTAAACCTATGTTCAGTAACCCTAATCCTCACCCAAACTCTCATTATATTAACACACAATAAACTTTTAAAAAACCCACAGTTTTCCACACCAAGCCATTCCTCTGCTGGTCCTCTGTGGACTAACACTCTTTCTGCCTCATCTTTTCCTCAGGGTTTGTGTAGGCGCCTCCCGGCCCTGTGGAGTCACCTCCTGAGTGTCTGCTGAAGTAAATTGAACCATCTCAGCAACATGGTGCCACCTGAAGCAGGCAAAAGTGTCTCTGGCTCGCTTCCTGGCAAGGCTAAGCTATTGGAGGCATTCACTGGACACCAACACCACAGACTCAAGACACAAGCACCACGTGGGTCAGAGAGGAAACTCCGGCGCTCCTGCAAAGAGTATCTGACACCTTAGGAGACCGAATCACGTGCTGAACCAATGTAGCTATCTGAATATCATTACTTTTCTTTTCATTGCTCATAAATTACTCTTTAAAAGCTGTGTTCTAGCCCTAGCCGGTTTGGCTCAGTGGATAGAGCCCACAGACTGAAGGGTTCTGGGTTCAGTTCTGGTCAAGGGCACATATCTCAGTTGCAGGCTCGATCTCCAGCTCCGGTCCGGGTATATGCAGTAGGCAACCCATCGATGCAAAGTTTCTTTCTCTCCCTCCCTTCCACTCTCTCTAAAAATCTATGATATATCTTCTGGTGAGGAATAACAACAACAACAACAGCAACTATTCTGAACTGTATCTAAGAATCAGTAATCTTGGTCTTTTAGTTTCCAGAATTCACCAGCTGAAGGTTCCTCCTTTGAAAGTGTAACATTTGTAATAGTGTGAGTTTCTCAAATTACCTACAGGGACACAATTTCATTTACATAATATTTATGATTTCTAGAACGCCATGAATCCAGACCCTGAGCTCATTTTAAATGCTAAGAACACCATTACTATTTCATTCAATCATTAATACATTTAAAACTAACAAAATGAATTTTTCTACCTCCTCACATTACATTTCTTCATGGTTTTTCTAAGCTTAAACTATATAATTTTTTCCCTTTAATCTTCACCGATTTTAGAAAGAGGGAGGGAGGAGAGAGAGAAACATTGATGTGACAGAGAAACATTGGTTGGTTGTCTCCCCATAAGCACCCTGACTGGGGATCGAAATTGCAACCTTTTTTGGGTACAGGACAGTGCTCTAACCCAGAGGTCACCAACCGGTGGTCCGTGAGGCCCAAAAGGTTGGCAACCACTGCTCTAACCAACCAGGCCACATGGCCAGGTTCTATACATCCTATCTAATAAAAGACAAAAAGGGTAATTAGCCGTACCTTCGCTACGCTCCCCAATGGCTAATCAGGGCGATATGCAAATTAACCGCCAACAAAGATGGCTAATTTGCATATGTAGGCACCAAGCAATGGAACGAAGCCCACTGGCCCTGGGCAGGTGCAGTGAGTGAAGGCCGGTGTGGCAAGCGAAGAGCGAAGCCCGCAAAGAGCTAAGCCCCTCGCCCACCGTGCCGGCCCCGCCCCCCCCCGGGCCTGCTTGGCCAGCGCAGAGCTAAGCGCTGAGCCCGCCGTGCCAGCTCCGCCCCTGGGGACCGCACAGCGGGCGCAGAGCTATGCGCGGAACTCGCGCGCAGGCCCCGCCCCTCGTGCCCATGCAGCCGGTGCAGAGCTAAGCGCTGAGCCCGCTGCACCGGCTCTGCCCCCAGCCCCCAGCGCCAGCGCAGATCGGAGCCCACCGTGCCGGCCCCTCCCAGGCGAAGAGCGAAGGCCTGGGTTCCGGGCACCGGAGGAAAACTGGTGCCAGCAGCCAGTGGAAGGGCCCCCGGGGCCCCAGACTGCGAGAAGGCACAGGCCGGGCTGAGGGACCCACCCGAGTGCACAAATTTTTGTGCACCGGGCCTCTAGTCTATCTAATAAAGAGGTAATATGCTAATTGGTTGGGACGCCATCACAGTAACGACCAATCAGCAGGCTGTGTGTGCAATGGGTGTGCTGGGACTTGCAGTGTTGGGGACGCGATGACGGCTGCCGCTTGCCCAGGGCTGGCCCAGGCAAGTGGGGACGGGGCAGGGGAGGTGGGGCCCGTCGGAGGGCGGCCTGTACTCCCCACATGGCGGCGGCGGCTGTGAGCGCTTCTGATGGCCGCTGCCGCTTGCCCAGGGCCAGTCCAGGGCTCCAGCGAGTTGCCGATGGCCACTGCCACTTTGAGGGCCCGAGCCTCAGGCAAGCCACAGTGGCTGCGATGGCCGAGGCTCAGGAAGCCTCTCGGCCGGCAGTGGCAGCAGCAGAGGCATGATGGTGTCGCCTTCCCCTGATCGCAGCCGAGGCTCAGGAAGCCTCTCGGCCGGCAGTGGCAGCAGCAGAGGCATGATGGTGTCGCCTTCCCCTGATCGCAGAGTCGCCTCCCACAGAGGGAGGCCAGAGGCGGCAGCAGTGAGGAGGTGATGGGAGCAGTGCCTTCCCCTGATCGGCCAGTTGCCTCCCACAGAGGGAGGCCAGACTGTGGCTTAGGCCCGCTCCCCACAGTGACATCCCCTGAGGGCTCCGGGACTGTGAGAAGGGGCAGGCTGGGCTGAGGGACCCCCCCTCCAGTGCACGAGTTTCATGCACTGGGCCTCTAGTCTATATCCTATCTAATAATAGACAAACATGGTAATTGATCGTACCATCACTACGCCTCCCATTGGCTAATCAGCGCGATATGCAAATTAACCACCAACAAAGATGGTGGCTAATATGCATACTGCAGGCAGGGTGGGACAGCGCCATTCCCCCTGCCCCGCCACTATCTGGGCCTATCTGCGACCCGGGGTGGCGGGCGTCCCATGTGTGCCCCAACTAGGGGCGGCCGGGCGGTGCAGCAGCGATTGGCTGGCCCGCCTGGCCGCCATCAGGGTGTCCCCTGTGCGACCCGGCCCAGGGCGGCCGGGCGGGGCAGCGAAGGCTTGAAGGCGGCTCCGGCTGGAGCGTCGGGTGCTGGAGGAATACCAGTGCCGGGAGCCAGAGGAAGGTAAAGCCTATTGCACGAATCTTTTCGTGCAACAGGCCTCTAGTCCTATCTAATAATAGACAAACATTGTAATTAACCGTAACTTCGCTACGCTCCCCATTGGCTAATCAGGGCGATATGCAAATTAACTGCCAACTAAGATGGCGGTTAACCACCAACAAAGATGGTGGCTAATTTGCATACTGCAGGCAGGATGGGACAGTGCCATCCTGCCTGCCCTGCCACCATCCGGGCCTGCTATCTGTGACCCGGGTGGCAGGCGACCCGTGTGTGACCCGACCCAGGGCTGGTGGGCATGACCGCAGCGATCCGCCAGCACTCACGCCCCCAACCGGCTCTCCCACCAGGAGATCGGGGCTGGTGGGGCGACCACAGCGGTCCGCCAGCAGTTACGCCCCCAACCGGCCCTCCCGTGGGAGATCTGGCATTGGCAGGCACCACCGCAGCGGTCCGCCAGCAGTTACGCCCCCAACCGGCTCTCCCGCCGGGAGATCGGGGCTGGTGAGGCGAACGCAGCTGTCCGCCAGCACTCATGCCCACAACTGGCTCACGCCAGTGGTCGCCATCGGAAAGCTGGGCTGCAGGTAAAGCGACACCCCCTGGCCGGCTGCCTGCGGCCCGTGATCCCCATGGCGATAGGAGGGAGAGAGAGCCAGGGCGCAGGCCAGCCGGAAAACCCGGGCCGCCTTTGCCGTGCGCGAACTATGCAGCTGGGATAGGGGCGTGGGGACGCTGTGAGCAGGACGGGAACTTCCTGGGGTTTGCATCAGGCAGCCGAGAGCAAGGTGGAACTATGCAGCCAGGAGAGGGGCACCTGGCCGCTGGGAATAGGGTGGGAACTTCCCGGGGTGGGTGTCAGTCAGCCTGGTGTGGGGCCGGAACTTCTGCTGCGTTGCCATGGCAATGCGGCAGAAGTTCCCGCCCTGTAGCTGTTTGCTCATTCACTTACTCGCTCATTCATTCACTCATTCACACACTCATTATTCACTCACTCACTCACTCAGCAAACCCTCTCAGGTCCCTGGCACCAGGCCAGACACTGAAGTTGAAGCAGGATAAGACAGAGCTATGTCCTCAAGATGTTAGTAATTCAGTAGGCGAAGCAGGCACATGAACGAGGCAGTTGTACACGCAGATGCACTGTACTGGGTTCGGTGAGGGCTGTAACTAAGGCCGACTTTGTTCTCTTGATAAAATGGGGCCTCCGGAGCCAGGCTGCCCCAAGCCTGTAAGCCTGTGCCTAGGCCAGGAGTGGCCGGGGTCCCGGAACATGACAGAGGGTGCAGGTTGGGCTGTGGGGTCTGGCCCCACCCCTAACCCCTACCCCCGAGTGCACAAATTTTTTGTGCACGGGCTATTAGTCTACACTAATAAAAAGAGACCATGCCAAATTAACCCGTCCCCTCCTGCCGATGCCCCACCAAGCCACGCCCCCCCAGGCAGTCAGGAGTGAGTATGCAAATTAACCCTGACCAAAGAATGGGGGTAACCTTGCATACACCAGGCCGCTGGGGGTTGGGGGCAAGGAAGGAGCGCACAGGCGCTGGGGAGACGGGGTCAGGGTGGGAGCTTCCCCCACGTCGCCATGGTGATGCTGGGGAAGTTCCCGCCCTGCGGCCGCTTGCGCTGCCACCGGGGAGCCAGGGAAGCTCCTGCCCGGCTGGCACGTCTGCGCAGGCTCCAGAGAGCCAGGGTTGGGGTGGTATGTGCTGGAGCCGTGGGCAGTGCCTGGAGCTGCCCCCACCCCACTGTAGTGTGGGCACTGGCGGAGGTTCTCACTTGTGGCCGCTTGCGTGCACACCGGCACCAAAAGGCCTGTGTCCCCAGGACAGGCATCCTCAGGATCCAGGCCACCCTGAGCCTGTAGGCCCGCGCCTAGGCCCAGAGCGGCCAGGGTCCCGGAACATGACAGAGGGTGCATGTTGGGCTGAGGGGACTCCACCCCCCCGGTGCACAGATTTCGTGCACCGGGCCCCTAGTCCTATCTAATAAAAGAGTAGTATAGGAATTAACCATGACTTCGTCACAAAGATGGCAGCACCCAGTCCCCTCAGCCCTGCCGCTGAAGTGTCAAGCCCTGTTACCACTCCGGTAGGCTGATTGCGGCAGTGTCCAGGCCTGTGGACCCGGCTGGGGGCCGCGGGGGCTAGCAGGAAGGCATGACCCGGATGGGGGCCGCAGGGCTGAGCAGCGAGGCACAACCTGCCCACTCTGGCGGGCCGATGCAGCCTCGCCGCTCTGCTGCCACCACTGCTGCCGCTGCAGTGTCCGGGCCTGTCAGCCCCTCCATGAGGCTGAATGCTGCGTCCAGGGGGCACACGCAAGTGGGTGGGGACTTGACTCTGGGTCTTCTGGCGCAGGAGGGCTTGATGCTATGTTCCCATTTGTGCTGGCCAGCAGGTGGACATCCCCTGAGGGGTCCCAGACTGC